CCTGTCTCCTCCTCGTCCCCCTTCCCTCCCGCTACCAACCCCATCCTTCCAAGCAGACCTCTGTTTCGCCATCCCCGACCCTTAACTGCCATCCTGTCTTGGCTTCCCCCGCCCTCCGTGCCTTTCTCCTTAGCACTAGGCTACTCTTCCCCCATCCCTGTGTGTCTCCTCTCTCTCGTCTACTTCGCCCGCCCGCTCTCATGCGGGGCGTGGCAAGCATTCGCGTGAAAGTGAGAAATCCTCTCGCCCCAACGAAGACATATTCACGTGTGCTATGCGAGGGGTGCGCTCCACAGCAAGGGTGGGACTGGACCCTGTTCAGGTGACATAAATGTTGTTTTGGTTAGCTATTCTGATTACGAATCATTGAGAAAATTTTGTTCTTGTTCTGCTCTAAATTATTCTTAAAAATTGGTATCGCCTCATGAAGTTTCATTTTACTTCCAACCTCGACGCGACACTTTTCGAACTATAAATCATGGCTTTACAGTAGAAGGCTGTCCGTTCGTTCGTTTTCTTGTCATTTTCTTCAGCAGTTCCCTAGCGATAGGGGAGAGGAAACTCCGCATCAGGACGTGTCTCCTCCTTCGTCAAGCCGCTTAGGCGAGTTCCTAACTCCAAACACAGCCGCGCAAGGCGTGCAAGAAAGTGACCGTAGCGCGACCATCCACGCTGCGGCCAGGAGGTCGGTCAGACCGGGAAGAGAGATAAGGAGGAGTGGGAGGAGTAAAGGATGAGATTTCAGGAAACTGAGAATTTTACAACCTCTTCTCTGTTTAACGAAAGAGAATTTAGTTACAGCCATTAACCAAGTCTTGTGGATTTCTAGAACCTATTTGTAAACTTGCACTTTTCACTATGCTTAGTATTTTCAACAGGAAAGAGGCATTAGGTCAACAGGCACTAATTCCCTGGCAACTTTCCTTGTGGATTGACAAGGCCTGAAATCTTCGCAGCATTCAACCCGAGCTTTCGCCGCTTTTGTAAAAGCCACTAAAATTTACTTAAATCTTTTACGGATGTTCTGATCTCCGTTGAAATGTAGCCGCCAACACATGCGGTCGTGGCGTACCGTAGAGCCTGACCCCGACAGTGCACGGTAGACATGCGGTCTTGGAAGAGCGGGGAGCGGACCAGCTCAGGCTCAGCCACTGCTGCGCGGCATATTTCACGCTTCCTCGAACAGTCAACAGCAGCCAGGAACAACTCCCTTCTGCTCGCGCCCGTGCCCCCGCTCTTGTGGGGAAACGGAGCGTGCTTCAGCGTGGCCCGCGCCGCCGTGCCTCGCCTCGCCTCGGCGCCGCTCGGCCTGGCTCGTTCCGGTTCGATTCGATGCGCTGTACTTAAAGCTAAATCTTTATGCAACGTCCATGTAGTGACTGAAGCGGGCTGAAGCGAGTTGGCCACCACTTCGATTGAGGATGTGCACAGGATTACGTAATTACAGGGATTACACGTGAATTTTGAATGATTACAAGTAAATTTTGGTGAATTTTTGCTCTAAAATCTTTAAATTTGGACAATAAGGTAAAATTTAGTGACAGTGTTTTAAAATTTGATCAAGGATTACACGAAATAGATAGGGATTACGTAGGGATTACACCCTCATCTGTATACAGGATTACGCGAGTGGTGGCCCCTCGGGCTGAAGTGTAGAAATAAACGGCCTTTAAAAAACGATCATGAAAAAACTGAAGCGTTTGTACGTAGTACATTTGCGAAGGGCAGATAAACCTTCCAGTTTACATATTTCCCAATTTAAAAAATACATATACATTAAAAAAATAAACAATTGAAAACTTGACGATGTTTTTATGTACATATTTTCTCTCAGGAACAAGCACATGCTTTTCCCTTTCACAGGGGCGCGTGTAAATTCTCCATCCTTCATAGCAAAAAGAGGGAGGGGAGGGGGGTGAGCTGCCTGACGATCATTGCGCCCCTTCCTCGCTCCTTCAGGGGATAAAAAAATTAAATGATCGATCCCTGGGTGCAGCAATAGAACGGTGGGGGGCCCGTGATTGAATTTGGCGCGCCTCGTCGAAGGACAAAGTTTGTCTTGATGTGAGTGCGGGGTGCGGGCTGCCACGCCACGCTGCTCGGTCATCGCCCTATAATGAATTTTCACGAGTTGGTAATGACCCGCGCCAGAAGGCAGAGGGGTGCGCAGAGATTTCAACGGCCTAACCTCCCCTTGAGTTACTGCCCCTGCGAGCCGGGGGTGGGGGGAAGGGAGAGTCAATGGGGTTGGTTCAGGCCGGGGAGGGGGAGGGGGCGGAGATGGACCCGCGCCAATGTACGGTGCCTGTCCTCATTCAAGAGATACCAAAAGTTTGGGTATGAGTTCCGGGTGGTGCAGTTCGGTTCTGGTATTGTACGAGAGTGAGAGAGACAGAGGAACCAGCAGAGGAGGGGGGAAAGGCGGCGAGGAGGAAAGGGGGCGAAAGTGAATGCAGCTAGATGGCGATTTGGCATCGAACTGTGCGATTCGTCTGGTTGTCGACTCGTGCACAACTTGCAACCATTTGTTCAACTTTGTCTACTGACCTCACCTTAAATCCCTTGCCCTGCACGCACAAACTACTGGTGACCTCTCGGCCCGACCCTCCTCTTCCCTCCCACCCGCCACAGCTGCTAACCCGGCTGATAAGTTTCGACTTAGCAGCGGGCTGACCACATGCAGTCCGTCCGACCCGAGCGCCCTTCATGCCATCCCCGTAGTTGGAGTGTCTGCGTATAATTGCACCTAATACTCTGCACATAAATTTGACACGCTTTGTCGAAACTAAACTGTAATTTTTCCTTTCTCTTTTTGATTCCAGATGTTCTGGTCGGGGTCGGGTCTCCTGATCGCCTGGTGAAACGCAGGTAAGAAGGTGCACTTCCAATCTACATATCATATGGGAACATAATTTTCAGATAATCGAGAATCCAATAGTCGAGAATTTAAACACGAAGTAGCATGTGACAATAATTTTGCTGCAGGTGCCCTCTGTTTTCAGCCATTCTTTCCCGTTATTACAAACATATCCTCCATGCTGCTTCCTGTTTGCATGGGTGTGTTCCCTCCCTCTTTATCCCGCATCCTCGGCGCTGTTGTGTGCAGCCTGCTTTATTAACAGAGCGTGATGCGAGCTTCGGCGCACTCTCGTTAGCATAATGAGAGAAATGTGCATTACGCTCCCTACATATTTGGAGTGTAATATGACTTTACCCCGCGACGCCTGCTCAAACCCGGCTCTAAGACGATCATTATATACTTAGAGGCAGTACTTTTCCCCTTATCACGTATAGCCTTCTCCGTTTCGTCAAGCTGGTTCGATTTCGAGCTGCGATCTCACGTTTGGGCGGCGCGCACACACTCGCGCGCACCCAGCGGGCCCAGCAGTGCGCGCGCGTGCGGGCTTAGTTCTTAACCGCTTATCGGGCCGCACCCAAGATACAATAGTCGTGAGAGCAGCCTTATCTGGTCCTCCCAGACTTGCGAACGAACCATTGCGGGCTCCAGGCCGATGGTGTGTAAGGATTCGCGCTCCGCAGTGTCGCGGGAGGGGTGAGAGAGAGGGAAGGGGTGGGGGTTAGGGGGTCTTCGGGGAGCGGTCTGGGGTTAACGCTTGCCAGGGTGTCCTGGGATGTCCCGGGGTGGCCGAGGGTAGGTGTAGATAGTGTCCGGGTGGGAGTGGGGTGTTTGGTAGGCCAGCAGAGAGCGCCAAGCAGGGCTCGTGTTACTGGCCGACCAGCTTTTAGCTTTCACCAGGTCAAACCCCACAACATCCCCTCCCTCCGGCCCACCTCGACCCGTCCCCCCTCCGCTCTCCTTCTCTTTAGGCCAAAGGGACGACTAGTACAAACAGTTCCGTCGCTTGAAAACAAACTGATGACCAGCGTAGCGACGAAAAGGGAGATGAATCGGGTCATCATCGGTTTTACTGTTGTTTCCGGGGATAGGGAATCCGAACCATGCACATCGTCGCGGTGTGCGGCGAGCACGCTGTTGTCAAACGAACATGCGCGACCGGATGTCATTCGACCGAGAGAGACAGAAGAATTCCAGAAAAAAGCTAGCACGAATGTCGGGCAGGCCGAGAGGCCGCAACGGTAACGTCTCCGTCACACCAGCAAAAATAGGACGTTTTGTCTCTCTTCAGTTTCAGTAGGACAATTCCCTTCATTGTGGCCTGTGCAGAAGAGGAGACCCTAATGCATTCATGCTACTCTCTATTTCGGCACGACAGCGAAGAGTGGTGTCTTTTCCAACATGTCGCCTGTTTGTTCGGGGTCCGACTGCAGTGGGAGAGCGCCGCTTTTCCGCGACCCTCGTTTCGCACGGAGAGCCAATCACAGTTAAACTTAAGCGACACCTGCCAAAATGCAAAGCGTGCCTGGGCCGTTGTGGTACCCCACGGGCGGGTACCATCCCTGCTCGGCACCCGCCCGGTACCCGCCCGGGGGAGATAACGGGTTACCTCCAGCTGCATCGCTCAGCCAGTCCACGCTTATCACAGGCCGGGAACTGGCTGCCTCGGTACACTGTTTTTTTTTTTTTAACGAAACTCATTTAAAAACTTTTGACGTACTAATAAATTGTTAAGTAGTATTTTTTAGACCTGAACGTAGGTGAGAATTAGAGTGAGGTTTGATGCAAAGTCCTACTAATTCCCTCCCTTTGGCCTGAAATACCACTGCCGCGTCCGTGTACCGGAATCACTCACTTGGCTTATAACCCTGCACTGGCCCTCCTTGAACATAACCACCCCATTACGTACCCGACTACACCATTACCCTAATACCCCCTCTCCCTCTCCTTCACCCTCCCCTTCCCCCGCCGCCCGGCAGCTTCCAACACCCTCCGGTGTCTCATGCTCCATCGGGGACCCCGGCCAACAACAGTGAGCCATTTCCAGGGAAAGAAGCAGCCTCGAGCCGCGCGACTCCCCGCCGCCACCGCCACCATTCTCGGGCTGCAGCCCTCTTAAACAATCCGGCATGTTAGAAAACGACGCGAGCGCCGCGCGGGCACTTCTGGCACCACGCCGGGGACAAATGGCGGATAAACCCGGGTCCTATTGCGATATTTATCCCCCCCGCTCAGCGCGCTGCGCAGTCGCGGTGGTCGATCTGCGGCGCGAACAGGCGCGTGTCTAGGCGAACAAACACAAACGCGTTCAAAAACAGACGGATATTTTTGGCCTCAGGTAATTTATGGGGCGCTTTAGAACCCGACTACCGCAACCCCCTGACTCGCCCGGGCCCGGCTCCGTACACGGTCGGTCGCCGCCCCCTTTCTCCAAGTTTAGTGAAGTGCGGCTGTGTGAGGCTGGGAGGGGGGAGCGGGGGGCGGGGGTATTTGAGTCAGCGCAATCCTGCCTTAATTCCGCGCTGCCCGGCACTTTGCACCTCTCGCTGTGCACTCCACTCACGCGGGTACATCTCACTGTAAAATGTGATCACTGTTAAATTCCTACAAAGCAATGCTTTGCAGAAATGCGAAGTGTTTATAGATCCTTTGTAACTGCAAAGCATTTACTTTAAAGTAAATTGCAATTGCAATTACAAAGTGTTGTTTTGCAATTGCAAAGCAATGAAACACGATGCAAAGCACCGCTTTGCAATTGCAAAGTAAATGCTATTACAAAGGATCTAAATACTTCGCAGTTCGGCAAAGCATTGCTTTGCGGGAATGTAACAGTGATGGCCAGACACTTTTCACCCGAATCGAGCGACGCATGTCTACGTGGTCTACGCGCTTTGCTTGCGTTGCGATAGGGGCAAGCTGGCAAGCGATCGAGTTTTGACAATTGCGTATTTCGTGGTAGACTCGTATTTGCAACCTGCCCCTGGTTCAGAAAAGCCAGGCAGCACCGACGTAGCCTACACAACATTAATGATGATTTTATGTTCAAAATGACCGGTGGTTGTTTATTTCGAAAACTTCCCTGAAGTGAGCATCGCTATTCAATAATTGCGAAGCATTATTGCTGTTAATTCTTGAAATATTGCTTTGCAATTTGCGAAGTAAATGCTTTGTAAGCGCGTGCTTCTCTGGTTCCCAGGATGACGGGATAGCGATGGCGGCTGCCCGCTGGCCGCTGCTGCCGCTGCTGCTGCTGTTGCTGCTGCTGACGGCCGGAGTGTCCCCCGAGACCTTCGGCGCCCCCTGCGGCGGCACCCTGGTGGGCCAGGACTCGGGCGTGCTGCAGACGCCGGGCTTCCCCGGGCCCTACCCGGTGCCGCTGCGCTGCGCCTGGGTGCTGGACGCTTCGCACCGCCAGGAGCCCAGCATCGCCCTGTACCTCACGCAGCTCTACCTGCTGTCCGGGCTCACCATCACGCAGTACGCTTACTACGAGCGGGAGGACTTCCACATGGGGGAGCAAGAGGTAAGTTGGAAAAGTACGCAAAGAAAAGAGGGGACGAAGAAACCAACGTTGACTCCGTTCGCTACTTGCGAATTAATTCTTTCTCTAATACGAAAACTTTCTCTTCGCTTATAAAACACAGTTTCTTTGTAAACGTACCGTGCTCGGCGTCAGTAAGTCCTTGCAGTACCGGATTTATTAGTGTGGTTGCCATACTCACTGTGAAAAATATCCTCGTAAATGTACAACATTTGTTTTATTTACATGTGGTACATTTGCAGCCCACTTACTTTGCGATCAATTCGCAATTCGATACGAAAAAATGTTAAATTTGCAATTTTAAATTTGTAAGTATATACGACACACATCATGGAAAATATTCCCGTAAACCTACGACTAATCTGCACAGTGCTCAAGGCACCGCATAATGAGTGAAGGCAACGAGTGAGGGTGCGCCGGCTGGGGGTTAGG